TAGTCATGCCATAATTTTTAGAAATGTTCACGAGTACGAGGAAGTATTTTCTGATTGTCACCTATATAAGCAACTTCAGGAGATAGTCCTCACTCGATTGATAAATTGCGAAAAACTTTCACAAAAAGCTGTCTAAAAAGATGACGATCTCTTGAGTTTGGATCACTAATACGAACTGGAGCACAATTCCACAAAAAGCATTACTTTTATGCTTCAGTTTTTAAAATAGAATTGATCCCTGGAATAATTTGTACTTCACGTAACCTGCGAGCACAAAAAAGATTTTCATCAAACCTGTATGATAAATAGTTGAAAATGCATTATAACCATACGATAGCAAGCCACGAGGTCCATCCACCTCATTCAAACTGCCAACTGTTGAACGTCGATTAGCCGCCATTCGTTTTTCGGTGGTGTTATTGCAATAATGTTTCTTTTTTTCGTGCTATCAAATCATGTCGATTGAGTTCTAATCGTGAGATCAGGCACTGCAGAGATTCTGTAAAGCGCATTTGCAAATAACCTCGAGATAATTGCAGTTCGTCGTCGTTCAGCAACATACAATCAAATAACATTTCGTTACGATAAGTTTTATTGCCGTGATGTTCTTGATAAGAACGATTAATAAAGATTTGGCCATTCACTTCAGCACATCCCACAACCTGTGTTTTCACCCGTAATGTTTTTTTTTTCATTCCATTACTTTCCACCCGTTTCATTTCATTATTTGTTTTCTATGATTTCGTTACTTTAATTTCGTTACAAGGTCGAGGACTGATTGGAAACGCATTGTGGCCAGCAACGTCAACAACGTTCGATAGCCTGGCCGATTCCAGTATTCCAGTATTCCAGTAATGCAATGTTGTGCGGCGATTGAATGACGACTTTTTTGCATTAACGTATCTAATGTTATCATTTCTATTAGGTCTAGTAGAAAGTTCTCGGGCAGCTACGCTGGTAAACTGATATAATGAAACATTGCGTTTCATTGTAGAGTTTTTGTATCT